ATTTGCAGCCAGGTAACAACGGCAGTAGTCAGAGGAGCTATGATAGACCAAACCCGAGCAAGGCTGCACTCAAATAACATCTCAAGATCTTAGTTCTCATGCATTCCATCAGTCAGAGGTGAAGAAGAGGTGGAGAATCTGGATCGGGGGCCAGGAAATCACTTGTATTTTTTTAGCCAATAAATTCCTAGCCAGTGTTGAATGAACTGCAAGGTATGAGTTACTTCTTCTAGGGTATCACTGTAAAAGTATTTCTGGAAACGTTTCTTTCAAAGAATAATATTCTAACTCATTTCTGAATTGGTATCAAATGCTGCCCAACCCAAAGAAAGGGAGATAGACTAAATCAGTGGTTCTCAGATTCTCTTGGTGAAAAGGCCATTCTTCTCATCCTTTATGGAAAACTGCCACCTGACTAAAGGGATGCTGCTTTTGATCAATGAGAAACCAAGGTGTGATAGCTTAAGTGAAATAGTCATTCAAATCGGGAAAAGCAAATCAAGAACAAGACATCAGCAGCCATGGGTGCGAATGAGGTTATATTGCCATTCATGCCAGAATCACCAACACTCTTAGCTCCCACCCGCATATCCACACCCTCTCTCCCCATATAGGGCCTCTCCTGCTATTTCTGGGAGTTTCCAAGGCCTCCCCATCACTGTCTGTGCTGCCGTCATCACAAGCCTGCTTTTCACCGTGCCGTGATCTCTTCTAATGGGCATGCTGGCCAGCCTCAGTCCTCAGGGTACTCAAGTGGCCTTCTGGTCTGAGCAGAGTTGGAACAGAGAGGTTGTTTGTTGATATGATTCTGCACATGCCCTGCGTGTTTAGATCCAGACTCCCACAAAATCTTTCATGAACACACTTCCTTCAGCTTCCACCCTAACTCCTCTCCCCGAAGGTAGGGAATTCACAGCTACTCAACGTCCTGATGGGAAGAGATGAGGGTGTGGATACCCCACCTCTGTGTTTCTGAACAACTCACGTTCCTGCCAGAGGCTCAGATCAAACAACATGAAAAGTGCTCTCTTTTGCCTTAGCCACAAAACAGCCCCAATTCTTCCCCTATGGCCCTGTATTGATTTTAAACAAATGGGGTCATTAACCCATCAGTTCTGCAAATAGCAATCCAGTTTGGGTTTGGTTAGGACATTCCATTCTACAAGGCAAGATAGCAGACATAGATCTTCCACAGCAGATGAAGACATCTATAGATGTCTTGGAAGATTTACACTCACGATGTCTGGAAAACTATTTTCCTATAGATTTGTTCTGATTCCATGATCCAGGGTTCAAGAGCCTTTGTACTGCTCTTACCTAGCAAAGATCTTTGAATCTGGGGTCAATCATTTAATTACTCATTTTATCCTCCATCAAGGCTGGCTGCATAGTGTGAAGACAAAAAAACAAGACTCTGTTTAGGGCTATACCGTTTTAAAAAAATGGGCAGCTTCAAGAAAACAGGAAAGGGCAATTAATTTGATATTTCTTATACAAGTAGATGCCATGTCATAGTGCTTACTCTACTCTTGCCACTATGTTTAAAAGGTGCTGGCCCTGAACTGGAAAGCTGATATGGCCTCTAGCTTCAGGGATGGCAGGATTGTTTGATGTCAGCCCCGAGTTTGGGAACAGTTGAAAGCTCAAGAGGCCTCCCTGTGTGCACTTCCTAAGATCAGCGAACGGGAGAAGGCCGTTGCTGGGTCTCTGCTGCCCTCGTGGGGCTGGCTGCCCTGGTGGTGCTGTGGCCGCCTCACTGAACTATCTCCCTTAAACCCGTCTTTCTTCTAGACCTGTTCACTCCCACAGACAGACTACTTCTTTTTTAAATTAAACTCTCTTCCACTGGCTTCTCCCTCAAAATCCAGCTTCCAGCAGCAGCTGCTCTCTCTCAGAAAGAACATGCTCTCTGGATCACGTCACTTGACTCTTTGCCTTTCTCGTCTCCTTGCCACCCCAAGTGCTGTGGCGCAGCTTGGTGTGGAGGCCAGATGCAAAGAATTTGAAGCCAGAGGACTTGATTTATATTTTTGTTCTCCCATTTATTTTTAGCCAGGTGTCATTGAATAAATTATTTCATCTCCTTGGACTTCAATTTTCTTAACTTGATTTTGCAAGTTATTATTATTATTATTATTATTATTAAGACAGAGTCTCATTCTGCCACCCAGGCTGGAGTACAGTGGTGTAATCTTGGCTCACTGTAGCCTCAACCTCCTGGGCTCAAGTAATCCTCCCACCTCACCACCCCAAGCAGCTGGGCCCACAGGTGTGCACCACCATGCCTGGCTGATTATTTTATTTTTTTGTAAAGATGGGGTCTTCCTATATTGCCCAGACTAGTCTCAAATTTTGGGGCTCAAGCAATCTTTCTGCCTTGGCCTCCCAAAGGGCTAGAATTACAGGCAAGAGCCACCACACCCAGACCCCAAAATATTATTTAATGTATTTTTGAAAGTTCTGTGGTGGGTGCTTCTCTCCCACTCCTGCTTCCTTTGGTGTAGACTGAGTTCCATTAAGGAAACACTCCTCGGTGACCACCTGTGGGAGGTAGAGGGGGCTGTCTCACATGGGAGACTGGGAATAGGAACTGGGCATACATACTTTCTCTCTTCCTCTTCCTCTTTTACTCTTTTGGGTACCGCTTTGAAAGAGCATGTGATCTCTTCTGCAACTCCTTAGGGGCAGGCCGAACAACTGCATTGCTTGTTGGGAGGGGTGGGCTTGCTCTGGTGCAGCTTATAACTCAGTTGTGGGGTTCAGTGTTCTGAACTCCTTTGCAGCTGTAGTATAAGCTCTATTCTCCAATGTTGACCATGTTCATAATAAAGACGATACTTTGGTTTCTGTCTGCTGAGTCCTCTTATTTATATCTATATATTTAGAGATCCTCAGTCCCACAGGTAGCAATTTCCTCTCCCCAGAGGCCGTCACTAAGACCGTCCATTGTGTTTTCCTCCAGAGATATACTAAATATATAGATACACATATACTGTACTACACATGAGTAGAGCATATTCATAATTCTGTTCAACAGTTTGCAGTATACCGTAGGTATCTGTTTTTATTAGAACCTACAGAGCTGCCTCATTCTTTTTAATGGCTACATTGCACTGAATGAACCAGTCCCCTCTCCGTGTACAGTGAAGATTTTCTCAATCTTTTGCTGTTTCAGAGAATCGAGCATGATGGATAAATGTGCAAACTCTGGAGCCAGCCTACCCAGGGTTGAGTTCCAGAGCCACTACTTAGCAGCAATGTGAACTTGGGCAAGTTACTTAACCTCTCTGTGCCTCCATTTCTGTATCTACAATTTGTAATAATTGTAACCTCACAGTGTTCTGTGAGGATTCCATGAATACATGCCACTCACTTAGATTCGTACTAAAAGTGTAATAAGCCTCAGTGAGTTCTAGCCAATTTGATTACTGTTGCAATTCAAGTTATGTAGGCAATTTTCCATGTATTTGAGTAGGATAAATCCTTAGAAATAGGATTATTTATACATTCTTAGAAAAGAATTTAGAATGTTGTTGGCTTTTGCCAAATGATCTTCTGTGGTAGCTGCACCAATGTGCTCTCCCACCAGTAGTGTATGTGTGTCTTGGTTCCCCCCAGTCTTGCCCAGTCTATTAGCAAACTTTTTGAATTTTGCCAGTCTTACTGATGGAAAAAAAATTATCTAATTGTAGTTGTAATCATTATATACCTTATTATGAGGGAAGTCAAGTATCTTTTCATATATTTGAGCCATTTATATATTCTCTCCTACAAATTGCCCACCCCTATCCCTTGTCCTTTCTATTGAGTTGTTCATTTTTTTCCCCTGTTGATTTACAAATGATCTTTCTATGTCTATAAGATGCTTTGAAAGTGTTTTCTAAGCTTGTCATTTGCCTTTTCACATTTTAATGGTACTTTGGACTTTAGAAGTCAAGTTAATCTTTTCTGGTTTCTGGGCTTTGTGACATACATTCAAAGGGCATGCTCTACAAAAATATTTTTAAAAATTCTCCCATATTTTCTTCTAGTGCTTTTATGATTTTTTTTACAGTTAAATTTTTTGACATCTGGGATTTATTTTCATATGAGAAGTGAAATATGGATCCTACTTTATTTTCATTTACATGGTTGTCTAGTTATCTTAATACCACTTATAAAATAAACCAATTTCTCCCAAATGATTTCATATGCCATCTTCATCATACTCTAAATTTCCTTATGTATTTTGATGTATTTCTGGTCTTTAAATTCTATTCAATTGATTTATTTATTCATGTACCATTAACATATTGCTTCAATTAGTGATGCTTAATAAAACAGGTACTTTTAATTAGCTGCAAAGGCTAGCCTTCCCATCTAACTTTTATTATTTATTTTTATACATTTTTCTGGATTTGCTGTCTTGTTTATGGTTTACGTAGGAAATTCAGAGTAAGCCTGCCCATTGAAAAATAATCTTATTGATATTTTGTTGTTGTTCACCTTTGGCATTCACCTGATGATATTTTTAATGGGATTTTTGTATGTGATTATTCATTGGGTTTTTGGGGGAATTAATGTTCAGATTAATCTTTACCTTTGGTTCTCATATAATATTGTCATGCATATCTCTTATGCTATAGGATGGAGGTAGAAATCTCCATTTGCATAGTGCTTTATACAGTAGGGACCTTGTGTTTGTGTAGAGCTCTGGGATGTGTAGAATGCTTATGTATAAGATATTTCATTTAATCCTCATACTAAACATTAGTGGTAAGTGTTATCTCTGTTTTCAAGATGAAAGACTTGAGCCTTGAAAAGTTTAACAAGTTTGCCTAAATGAATGCCACTAGTTGGTGGCATAGTTTGGTACCTGCACCCCAATCAAATCTGAGCTTGTTTCCAAGTGCCATCACTTTTGGTGGTGTTTTTGGCTGTGAATGAGCTCTGCACTTTTGGTCTTGACCTCTGGAGAAGGTGGCAGGAACAGACAAATAAATAATAAAGACAGAGGCAGCACTGTGGGGGGTTTGACTTTATTTGAAATTCTTGGTAGACTGTTCATTTGGTTGACTCCTGCCAAGTTGATTCATGATGCTGGGTGAATATTCTGTGCACTGACCTCCATACCACACACTTTGGAAGGGTCCAAGGAAGGCAGTCTATGCCCCCAAGGGGCTCACAGGCTGTCAGTTCAAGTGGGAGGGCCTTCAATCTTTGCTCTGGCCAGGAAAAGACTGACCATTGGTCTCCAAAGCTGCCGGATAGCATTGCCAGATCACACCTAAACAACTCTGACTGCAGTTTCACACAGGTGGTGATCCAAAATTTGTAAAAAAGGGAAAGTGATGTGTGAAGATGGGGCCGAGATGAGAGGAAATGGATTCAAGCCTCGTTGGAAAAGCCAGGTTAGTTTGTCACTTTAATTTGAGCATAGACAATGGGGTCAAAGTCTGCAGAATGGTTCTCAGCCAAGTGATTGCTCTTATCTTCTGAGAGTTTGAAAGTCATGCTGGCATAGGTAAGTGATTCTCCTGGGATGGATGAAAGCTGCAGAGGGAGAAAAAGGAGGAAGGAGTGAGTTCAGTTTGGAGCAAAACGGTTGCTCTTTAGAAGCAACCTGAGCACTTTGGTCAAAGAATCACTTGCCCAGTGTCTGGAAATCAATCTCACCATTCTAGTAGATAATTCAGAGTATGGAGGGGAATTCCAATGATGGTAGCCCTTCAGTGTCGCCAAAACAGTGTGGTCATCTTACCTTGGCGGGAGGATCTGAGTGAGGATCCGGGACCTGGGGCTTGGAGTGACCTGCCATGGTGCCAGAAAGAAGAGGGACCCATCTCAGCAATGGGCCTGGGGAAATGGGAAACCTCTCCCTCTGATCTTGGGTGAAGGGTGGGGTGGGAAGGGGGTGTTGGCAGGTGGGTGGGGGCAGGGCAGAAGAAAAATGAAGGGATTTGAGTCTTCAGTCTGCAGACAGGGTGGGCTAAGCAGGTTTTATCACACTGCACCCTCCCCTACCTCCTCCCGTTACTCACTCATAGCTAATTCTAGTATCAATGGCAGACAGAGAAGGGCCGTCCTATCCCTTGGAGACCACTTACATTTTCTGTAGCTCTTTATGATGAGGAAGATAAAGGCTATCAGCAGCAGCGTCAGTAGAACCCCAGCACAAAAGGCAAGGATTAAATGGTTTTTGCTGTTTTGGCAGAGAAAGGCAGAGGATGAACTGTTGGGCTTTTGAAGGTCTTTCCTAAAGAGTGAAACCTTTCCTGCCTATGGATGGACTCCTGAAATTGTTTTCACACTGACTAATGAATTTTCACCCATTGGTTTTCAGCTTTTGCTTTTGAGTTTCACATCCATTTGGGGCCTCAGAGAAAGCTGTGGCCTCTTCTTCTCCCCCTCCCTCAACCCACACAATGTTCATAATTCCCCACCCAGCAAATTTTACCTATAAGCTTAGGGGATCCATGGATCTCTTGAAGCTTAGGGGATGCCAAATTAAGAGCCATACTCCTGAGATCACAAACTGACTTTTTTCTTTTACTGTTTCTAGTCCTTTCTCCCCAGTCTCCCTGCCCAAGTCCCTAAGCCAAGGGTGTCAACATAACATCAAATCCTGTGTGGTACAAGATGAAACAGATGGGAGAATGCTCATTTACTTGTGGTGGTTAGAGAGACACGGTGCAGGGCTAGTTGTTGGGGCTGCTGTGGAGAAAGTGCCTTGTTTTTCTACAAGAAAACATAAAAAGGATTCGTGTATTAGTGTATCTGTCACTTTTCATCATATCCTTCCAGCTTAAATGTCCCCACGTGCCCCATTTTACCCAATCAGCCAGTGGAAATTAAGGATGGGCCTGCAACTCTTACAAAAATGTGAGAATGTTGTTTTTTAGATTCCAAGTACTTTTAAATGAAAATTAGAACTGGAACTTAAAAATCAGCTACATAAATGAAATACAAGCCTGGTGTCCCTTTGTTTAAAAAAAAAAAAAAATCTCATGTGTTGCCCTCCTCAAAGAGTTTAATAGGAACCCCTGAAGAGATGTGCTCCTTCTGACCTAAGGAAAGCATCTCCCAGCTAGGCAGAAACAACAAATGCTTGCCAAAGTCCTTGGGGAATTTGACCTTGAAACCGCTGCCCTTTTTTGTTTGCTCTTTTTGCAGAGCAGCTATTACCAGTGCATAGCCAAAAACAGCCACAGTGGTTTTCCCAATGCCTACAATAGGGGAGAATGACCCACCTAGTTTGATATTGAGCAGAGACATTCTACTCAGATTTGGAGGGCCAGGCAGGTCTCTGTGATTTCCCCTTTTACCCCTCCTGGCATTAGATTCTGTATCCTGGTAAAATTGGATTCTTCTAACTTCAGAAATGCACTAGCTAGTGCCTTTCCATTACAGTCTTTCAGCACAATTTCTAGTTATTTTAACTCAGAAGTGAGGCAGGTAATTATTCCTGTCATAAACTCACCAGTGTAGGGTTTAGATGTGGAGCTAATTCCTCCCATGCTGTCATCCCCTGAAAATAAAACAAGGTATCTGTTAGAAAGCTTGGAGAGGAGAGCCAGCTGAAGGGCCAGCTCTGAGACTGTGATTGTCATATAAGAGTAGTAACAATGAGAGGCAATTTGTGGGTGTTCTAGTGCCATCAGTGGTCACAGACCACTCATCAGAGGTCAACAACTCTGATGTTGTTTCTGCAGCTCAGCAGCCAGCCTTCAGGTTTGCAGGTTCAGAAATTTGATCTTATCACGGCACCAAGAATTGACTGATTTCTCCAGAACTGATTCCCACCAACCAACTCACAGGAGACTGATGTATAAACTGAAATAACATGAAGGTACATGTTGGTGCAATCAGTGAATTTTGCCTATCAGGGGAATATATAAGAACGCAAACGAAAATCATAATTTCGCTTGATAAGCACTGAACTGAAGTATGAGAGAAGATGAATGGATGATTTTTATACTGACTGCCAACTGGGTCTGATGTATCAGTCTTACTCCTCCCTGGCATTGCTACATAAACTTTGACAAACTTGCTCTTGGAGACCCTTACTCCAGACCTCATTAGACACTTCTAATCTGCTCACATATTATCTTCTCAAGTCTGCCAATAGTCTTGTTTAGGCTTTATATCAAAATGTATAAAGCATCTAAAGGCAGAAAAGTGAAATCACCCAAACTCCTACTACTCATTAATATTTTTAGTGTCTTTCCTTTTAGTCAGACTTCCATGCATTTTTTAAAAAGCTAGTTGAGATATTTCTTTTTATAAGAGGTTATATCTTCCTTTTATATTTAGCATTTTGCCATACACATTCTTCTATGTTACTAAAAACTTTTAATAACATTTTTAGTGGTGATGGGTCTTTCTGCTCTAGCTATGTACTATAACTTGCTTAACAAATTCTCCACTTGATAGAATTGTTTCCATTTTCATTTGAATCAATTACAATGAAACAGATATTTTTGTGCATAAAACATTGTATGCCTCCCTGATTTTTTTTTTTTAGGGGGCCAAAATGTTACTTCATATTTAGGCAAACTCATGGGAAAATGTTTTGGCTTTGTTATTTCTTCTATATTTTAAGGTCATTTCTTTAAACAAATGTCATCAATTATTTATTGTTGTATTGTTCAGTTCTCCAAGTTAACTTCCAAGTCCTTGGACCTGTGGGAGGGTTGGGAGGATACCTCATCTCCCTGTACCTGTTACAATAGCAGCAACAGCAACATTACCAAGTACCTTACAATTCACCAAACATTTTTAGATCATGCAATGTCAGATAAGAAAGGGGCCAATGGGAAAATACGGTGAGGAGTCTGAGCCATGAGAATAGGAAGCCCACAGTCTTCAGCAGAATTGGCAGTGGTAATTATTCTGACACATTTTGCTCCTTTTCTAACTTGTACGTCAATGGTACTCTTTGCAGACCATCATAATATATTGACATAATATTTTTTAAATATTGACATAATATTTTTAAAATATTGAAATATACGTTGGTGCTAAACAGAATATGAGCTTACACTAGGCTTTGCCACTGGAGAGATGGAAGAAGATAGGATCATAGGTTTCTGTAAAATCCTGAAATTCACTGCAGCAGTTCTGAATTTACAAAAATGTTACCATAGCCGTTGTGAAAACGTTAGGCCACTCCACCCGAACTTTCACATAAATTGACAAAATCATCACACACAGGGAAATAGTTACTCACAAATCCAGGCCAAGAAAAGCAGGAAATACATTTCCCTTTAAGCACAACCTAAACATTTGGCAGAAGCATAAATTAAAAGAGAAGCGGTGCTATATATACTTTTTCACGTTTCATCCAGCATTGGAGAATCTTACTGACTGCTGTAAAATCCATCAACTAAATAGAACCATTCAAATACAACCCTTCCCGCACCAAATAAAACAAGTGATAGAAGCCACTAACAATTAGACGACACTTTCTTTTGGTGAGTGATTATTTAATCTAGATTAAGAGCATGCGGTAAAAGCATTTACCTTTCAAGAAAAAGTCCGGTCATACGACGCAATCGTCTAAGATTGAGCATTTCACTTGCTTCCGTTACCTCTCCTATGTTTCAGAAATGACGAAATAAAGATTACTGCCCCTGCCACTTCCAGCATCACATTGTATGTCGCAAAGATCCTGTCTAAACTCAAGGGTAGGCTTCCTCTTTGAGGTCAACATTATGATTTTTTCATCTTTCTTTTGTAAGTTTTCTTTGTGTCTGACACATGAATGCCAGAATGTAAGGAGGTAAGACAGGTTTCTTGCTAATTAAATATTTACTAAGTATTTACTTTAACCACTGTGTCAGATTTACTGTGGAGATCGCATCAGTATGACATTATTATTGCCATCAAAAACCTTATAATCTCATCTATTCTAACCAGGGAGATGAGGCTGATAACGAAAAACGAAGAGCAAACCGTGTTAAGAGTTAAGTACTAGCTGTGCAGACTTCAAATGTGTTAAGAGTATTGAGATCCCTTCAAAGGGAAGGCGAATCATTTCTTTATAAATTTTTCTGTAAAATAATATTAATAAATATACTAATTAAGTAAATGCTATAGGCCATACAGTGGGCTGGTGTTATAGGTTTTTTTTTTTTTCTTTTTTTCTTTTTGAGATGGAATTTCATGCGTGTTGCCCAGGCTGGAGTGCAGTGGTGCAATCTCAGCTCACTGCAACCTCCACCTCCTGGGCTCAAGCAATTCTCCTGCCTCAGCCTCCCAAGATTACAGGCATGCGCCAGCCACCATGCCCGGCTAATTTTGCATTTTTAGTAGAGATGGGTTTCACCATGTTGGTCAGGCTGGTCTTGAACTCCTGACCTCAGGTGATCTGCCTGCCTTAGTCTCCCAAAGTGCTTGGATAACAGACGTGAGCCACCATGCCTGACCAGGTTATATGGGTTTAATAACTGACCAGGTTATTATAGGTTTTTTGGAGAGCAAGGCAGAAAAGTTCCTTGCCTCATGGACTCTACCACCTAATTGAGAAGAGAAATGAAAAACAAGGAAATGATAAGTCAATGACACATTGTATTAGGGCCATGAGGGAAAGAAACAGAGTGCTAGCTAGAGAGAATACACTGGGGGAACATCTTTAGAGAAGACAGAGGACTGGGGAAGGCTTCTCTAAGGAGTGGACATTTCCACTTAGAGAACTCGAGGATGAGCAGGAGCTAGCCAGGCACAGAGTCTGAGGAAGAGGTTTTCAGGTGGAGAGAAGAGTAACTCACAGCTGGCAGAGCTGGAAAAATCAGGCAAGGATGTGTGCAGGTAAACCTGGAGCACAGATAGGCTTTGAATGGATGGAGGAAGAAAGGGCTGTGGGAGAGGTGCCCTAGGCCCAGGGTTGGTTACTGAAATTCAAGTGATGGCTTTCTGGGATATCAGCACAGTTCAAGAGTGGAACATTTTGGCTGGGTGTGGTGGTTGACGCCTGTAATCCAGCACTTTGGGAGGCTGAGGCAGGAGGATCCTTTGCGCCCAGGAGTTTGAGGCTGCAGTGAGTCACGATCATGCCGTTGTACTTCAGCCTGAGTGACAGGGTGCTTAAATAAATAAATAAATAAATAAATAAATAGGGAGGGGCATTTGGAGAGGGTGGGAGATGAAAAATAGTTGACATAGATGGATTTTAGCCAGATGGTGGGGAGCTTTAAATCCAAGCAAGATATTTTAAAAATATTTTAAAAATAAACACTAAATCTTTTTGATTGAGATATAACATGGTAAACATAACCTTTATGACAGATTGTACCATATCATATAAGATAAATTTTGGGTAGAGACAAAGAAACTAGAGGGTATGGGGATATTCTGGGTATTGTGTAGTGAGGGTGTGGGCTGAAACCACAGGGATCATAAAATTGGAGGACATATAACTTGGGACCTGGATATGGGGAATAAAACAGTAGGATGAGTCAATGATTACTTCAATTTTTTTTTTTTTTTTTTTTTTTTTTTTGAGACGGAGTCTTGCTCTGCCGCCCAGGCTGGAGTACAGTGGCCGGATCTCAGCTCACTGCAAGCTCCGCCTCCCGGGTTCACGCCATTCTCCTGCCTCAGCCTCCCGAGTAGCTGGGACTACAGGCGCCCGCCACCTCGCCCGGCTAGTTTTTTTGTATTTTTTAGTAGAGACGGGTTTCACTGTGTTAGCCAGGATGGTCTCGATCTCCTGACCTCATGATCCGCCCGTCTCGGCATCCCAAAGTGCTGAGATTACAGGCTTGAGCCACCGCGCCCGGCCTACTTCAAGTTTTTGAACCTCAGTTGCTGAGATAATTCATTTCTTCATTCACTTACTCCAAAACATTTATTGAACATTTACTATGTGCTATGTCCCATTCTAAGCTTTGAGGATATTATGACGAGCATGAGGACCTGCCTTCATGGAACTTTCACACTAGTAAAGGAGGCCCTTACCACACAAAGAAATGGCAAATTGTGATTGTTAAGTGTGCTGTGAAGGATCAGGACCCTGTGCCATGGATGCCTACAACAGAGGGGAAGAGGACCAGGGAAGCCTTCCTAGAGCCAAAAAATAAAACAAAACGACCCAACATTTAAACTGAAATCAGAAATGTGAGTTGGAGTTCCACTAGACCAAGAGGAAGGGAAAGTTTGGAGGGAACAGAACATTTAAAAACCCTGTGCCAGAAGGAGGGTAGGAAGTTGAAGGGGGAAAAAAAAAAAAAGACTAGTTTGACAAAAACTGAAAGAGGAAGTATGTGAAGTGGCACTGGGGTGTGGGCAGGGCGTGGAGCATGATGAGGATGAGGTTGAATAGGCAGGAAGGGGCCAGTCGCTCACAACTTTTGTCTTTAAGAGAAGTGGGTTTATCTGTACTAAACATATTTAAACAAGGGTGACATGATCAGGCTTGCATTATGGAACAATCACTAAAACTGGAGCAAACAGATTGGAAGTTAGCCAGAATAGATACGAATAGACCGGTTGAGAGATTACTGCAGTGATCCAGTTGAGGAGGGTAACAGTAACGTGGACTAGGATGGTAGCAGTAGAGAGATGAAGAGATATATATGGATTTGAGAGATATTTAGGAAAGTGGCAGCAAAAACAATGGGGGATAAAAGATGAGATAATGATCAAAGATACCACCAAAGGGCAAGAAGGAGGAAGAGAAGCCAGAGAAGGAAACAGCGGTAGTTCAAGACTTAGAGGGAGGATTAACTAATTAATCAGACATTTACTCAGCACCTACCCAAACACCCTGCCAAGCTCTGGAGGTTCAATAATGAGTAAGACATAGTTCTTGACTTGCGGGATCTGTCTCTTGTAGAGAGAGAGAGATATGTTCATTCATCTACAAAAGCATGTTCCAGACTGGCCAGTCACATAAATAAGCATAATGAAATATTGTAGATGTGAGACATCTGTACAGGATAGAGTGAGACGCAATGAACAAAGGGGTCAGGCTACACGATAAGGAGGGAGGATAGGTGTCAAGAAAAGCCTCATAGAGGAGATAATGTTTGAGTTGCACCTTGAAAGATGAATAATTTTCTAGGCAGACCGAGGGAGGAAGTGTATTCCAGGTAGAGGGACAGGGTAAACAAGGGCATGCTTTGGCACAATGCTTGAGTTTGGGGAAATGCAAGTATCTCAGCATAGGTAGTGCTATGGGGAATGAGGATAGGATAAGTGTGGGGGATGGAAGGGGAAAGGCTGGCGAGGATAGATAAAACCAGGTAATGGCAGGCCCTAAACATACTTTACCCTTATAGGCAATGGAACGATTGCTGAAGAGGACTAACACAAGCACATTTGGGTTAAGGCAACAGAGTGTAGCAGGGACCAGTGAGGTGCCAAACAGTGGGTGAAGAATCCTTTGGTGTTGTAGAGTTCCAAGTGAGAAATTAGGATGATCTGAATAGAGGCAATGGCCATGGGGAAGAGGTAGAGCAGATAGGTGATGAGTCTAGTCATTTATTAGGTGTGAGAGGAAAGTAAGAGAGAGAGGGGAGGTGGTAATAACTGCGTTTCCTGCGTTGTATCTATCAACTAACTTTGAGAATATAAAAGAAGGGGTTACAAGATTGAGAAAAAATAATGAGTTTAATTTTGGACACATTGGATTTGGGGTGCCAGTGGAACATTCAGGTAAAGATGTTGAGAGAGCAGTTGGATGCACAGATCTGGGGCTCACAAAAGAGAGCCCCAGAATTGTGTGGTAGACAGTACTAGAATTGTGTGGTAGACAGTACTAGTTCAGAATTGTGTGGTAGACAGTACTGGGAATTGTGTGGTAGACAGTACTAGTTCAGAATTGTGTAGTGAAACAGTACTAGAATTGTGTGGTAGACAGTACTAGAATTGTGTGGTAGACAGTACTAGAATTGTGTGGTAGACAGTACTAGTTCTCACCAACAACCAGTTCTCCTCTCCTTCTTGTGTGGAACCTCCCTTGTCATGCGACAAGTTCTGGCCAATGGGCAGTGAATGAAGTGATGCATGTCCCATTTAGTCAAAACATTTAATTGCTGATGCAAGACCTCCTCTGACCCTCTCCCACAACAATGGAGATTTTAGGATGGGAAGGTGAAGGTGAGAGTTCTAACCCTGGATCCTTGAGTCAGCATATGGAGGACAGTTTCTTTGGGGAGTCACTTGGACCTTCAGTAGATTCTATATGAGCAAAAAGTAAACTTTTCCATATTAATCTACTGAGATTTTGGGTCGACCTTTTTCTTTCTTTCTTTCTTTCTTTTTTTTAAGGCAGGTCTTACTATGTTGCCCAAGCTGGTCTTGAACTCCCAAGCTCAAGCTATCCTCTCACTTCAGCCTCCCTAATAGCTGGGATCATTGCATCTGACACGTGCAATGTCACACACCTATGATCCCAGCTATTATCTCATCTCACTTAACCTAATCTATTTTTCCAAATATAATTTGAGATATAGACTAGGAAGTCACAGGCATGTATATGATAGTAGAAGCCATGGGAATGGATAAGGTAATCCACGTACAGTATGTATTATAGAATGAGAATAAAATTCCTAGGATAGAACTCTGAGGAGCACCAAGATTTAAAAGGGAGGCAGAAAAAGTAGAGTCAGTTAAGGAAATTGAGAAGAAACAGTGACAGCAGAAATAGCATAAACGTATGTGATTAGGAGCC